AGCCTCTGACGAGGGAATGGCCTCTCCTCTTCTCATGGTGCTCACACAGCTGGTGGAGGTGCTGGGCTCCTGCGAGGGGTGGGGCTGACAAGCCCGGGGACCCAGGAGCCAGCAGTCTGTCTGGGCAGCGTCTGTGCCCATAGCCGTGTGCCTATCTGTCCTCTGCGTGTGTGTCCGTGGCGTCAGCTCGTCACAGGAACTGACTGAAGGCTGTACCTCCCGGAGCTGCAGCGTCTCCAGCATCTCTAGGACCTCAGGCTGTCTTGGAGTAGATTGGGCTGTGTCTGGGAGAGTGGGCTTGAGGGCCCCTGTCCTCCCGTGGTCCAGGGTGCCCACCTCCCACCGTCTCTTCTCCCAGGATGCAGGGGCCGGGCTTCTTGCTGCCGCCATGATCGCTGTGGTTCCTGGCTACATATCCCGGTCTGTGGCCGGCTCCTATGACAACGAGGGTAAGACGCCTGTCCGCCTCAGCCTGCCACGCCGGGCTCTGTCCGCCTTATTGCCCCCAGAGCTTTGTGGAGAGCAGTGGGTTTGGCCTTTGAGTCTGTCGCTTTGCAGTGATAAAAATGGTGTCTGCGCCAGAAGGGGAGGAATGGGCAGGAGGGGGTCTCGGACGAACCGTATCCCCTCCTCACAGTCCCTCCAGGGAAGTAGCTGGCGACTTTTCTTCCAACACGTTGCTTTACCTGTGGACCCCGGATGGAGTTAGCTCTCGTTTTAGCATAGCAGCCGTTGCCTTTACTCTCTGAGATGGGGAATGTTCTTCACGTTGTAGTGGCTTTTACTGACTTACCTTCAACTTAGCACGTTTACTGAGAGCCATTAGGAAAGCACACTGTTAGGCCCTAACGTGAAAGAGTGAGATCATCTTGGCTCGCAGTTAGGAAAAGGTAAGCAGCAGATAACGGTCGTGCTGTCCCCGAACCCACGAGGGAAGATTGAAAAGCACCTTACGAATCGCGCCCCTGCCAGGCCATAGCACTAAGCCGTGGTGGCGGCGGGCCCAGGTCCTAGGGACATGCAGGGAGGGTTCGCTCCATGTGAGGCCTGGGAAGGCTTCTCGGGAGCGCAGGAGGCTGAGCGGGTCCCAGGTTGGAGCCGGGCTGGGGTCGGGCTGGTGCTCGAGAGTGCAGGGCATCTCGGAGGATCAGGACCAGGGATCCAGGGCTGGGAGGAGCAGCAGTGGCTGGGCTGGGCTGGCCGTGTGTGCTCTGTGCGAGCTGGCAGTCTGGCACGTGACACGCTCGGTTTTGTCTTCACGACAGCTTTGTGACGTCACGGGGTCCTTCACAGGGAGCTGGGGCAGAGGGGTGAGGCCGCTCGCCTGCGGTCGCACTGCCGCTGGGGCTGGGATGTGAACCCCGGCGTGTGTCCGGGCGGCCTGGCCCTGAGTCTGGCTCGTCCCCGCAGGGATCGCCATCTTCTGCATGCTGCTCACCTACTACATGTGGGTCAAGGCCGTGAAGACGGGCTCCACCTACTGGGCAGCCAAGTGCGCCCTGGCGTACTTCTACATGGTAATGCCTCCGCGCGGGCTTCTTAGGGCTTGCCGTGACGGGTACGGGTGCGTGTGCGTGCTCCTGAGGGAGGGATGAGCGCCTCCGTGGGGACCGGTCACACCACAGTCTCCTTCCTCCAGCCCGTCAGACCTGGGCGCAGCACGCTTCAGGCTCGACAGGGCCAGCGGCGGGGGCTTCTCCAGAGAAGCGCCTTCCCGCTGTGCCACACAGCTGGCCAGTGTTTCTGAAGTTCCAGGTTTTCCAAATCTTTATTCCCTTTTCTTAGTTTCAATTTTATTTGCTCTCGTTATTGTCTTATTTACTATAGGGCATGTGCATTCGAGAGAGCGAGAGCGAGAGCCGCCAGGTCTGGGACTCGACCTGGGGCCCCCTGACCACCATGCCGCCTGCTGGCCCTGTCCTTGGTGGGCACACACCGGCGAGCCTTGTTCTTTCCTGGGATGCTCCAGGATAGCTCCCTTTTTCCGTATATTTTTCTGTTTATCTTACATACGAGGGGCTTTCAAAAAGTTCACGGAGAATGCACGTTATGAAAATGTGCTTGTTTCAATTTTCTTCTCACACCAAAAAGAAACTTGTGTTTTGGTCCCATCTTCCCATGACCTCCCTGCAGTCCCCTGGTCTGCACTCAGCCTTCCTCCGTGAGCTGCTGCCTGCCCCTTTCACTAAGTCCCTGTGGCTTCCAGCCGATTCGAGATTTAGCCGTGGGGTTTGAGTACTGTGTTAAATGACCCGGCATTGCGACCCCAGAGGGCGTTTAAGAAACAAATGGCTTACACTCTTGAAGCCACTTGGTATGAGGCGCTGAGTTACCACAGAGGTGTTTCTGGGAGGGCCCGGGAGACCGAGGCGTGCTCAGGGCGCCATCCCCCGTCCTCTCCAGGTCTCCTCATGGGGAGGCTACGTGTTCCTCATCAACCTGATCCCGCTGCATGTCCTGGTGCTGATGCTCACCGGCCGGTTCTCCCACCGCACCTACGTGGCCTACTGCACCGTGTACTGCCTGGGCACCATCCTCTCCATGCAGGTCTCCTTCGTGGGCTTCCAGGTGCGTGCCTCTCGGGGCGCGTCTGCCACTTGTTCTGAGCAGACTCGGCTGGGCAGGTCTGTGTCGGCCTTGGAGGAGCGAGGCTCAAGCCCAAGTCTGATCGGACCGCTGGCGTGAGCTGCAGCCGCAATTGTGGGTCCACCCTAAGGAGGACCTCACTACTAGGGCGTGTTAGGTCTGCTCCATGAGGTTTTGATTTAAGGGCCGTGGGGTGGGCGGGGACGTCGGGCCGCTGAGCTGGTGAGCAGTCAGAGCTGCGGTTCCCCTCTCGATGCTAACAGCCCATCGGTCGCGTGAGTGCTGCGGAGACCGCAGCTCGGCCTTTACCCAGCCCTCGGGGCCATGGACAGCTGTCACGTTGGAATGAGGACGTGTGTGTGCTTCCTCAGGGAAAGCGCTCATGGACGCGGCCACTCTGAGGTGGCACACGCTCTCTTCACCGCCCGGCTATTGTTGGGGACATGGTGCGGTCCCCAAGGAAGTGACGGCCTCCCTGGGATAGGCCCGCACGCATCTGCCTCCATAGTCGGTGCTCTGGGAGCGTCAAAAAGTCGTGTTTGTCGGGAAGGCAGGTCCTGGCCCAAGCACTGACCTCCCATAAGAGCTCGGCGTGGGCTTAGCACGCTGCGCCTTAACACCCCTCCCTCCGTGACTGTCCGCAGCGTGGGGACCACTGGTCCAGGGCCAGGAGTGAATGGGCCACCAGCGGGAAGGCAGGGAGAGGGAGGGAGGGAGGGAGAGCGAGAACAAGCCCAAGAGGGAGAGAGGAAGAGTGAGAGGAGGGGAGAGGAGAGTGGAGGTGATGCAGAGCTGCGTGGGGAAGGTGGGGAAGCTCTGGCAGGCCGGGAGGAGAGGCCTTTGCCCTGAGCCGTGATGGTGAGACCAGTGAGGTCCCGACGGGCCGACAGCCTGAGTGAGACTGCAGCTGGGTGGTGACACTGGCGTGCCCCAGGCCACTCCGGACGGTCCTTGGAAAGAGGGCAGGGGAACGGCACGTCCTGGTCGCCCCGATCCTGGGCCTGGAATCCATCCGACCTTCGGGCCCGAGCTCGACGTGACACAGACGTTGGCCGGGCTCTGTCCCTGCAGTGGCCCCCCGTGACACGCATGCTTCCCCCAGCCTGTCCTGTCCTCGGAGCACATGGCAGCCTTCGGCGTCTTCGGTCTCTGCCAGATCCACGCCTTTGTGGATTACCTGCGCAGCAAGCTGAGCCCCCAGCAGTTCGAGGTGCTCTTCCGCAGCGTCATCTCGCTGGTGGGCTTCGGCCTGCTCACCGTGGGCATGCTGCTCCTGCTGACGGGTAAGCGCGGCCTCCGGCGCAGACACCATGACCGGCAGGGGCCTCCAGGACACGGTGTTGCCGTGTCTTCACTCCGAGCAGATCAAGACCAGGTCCTTTACTGTCCACCACCTCGTCAGCCCGGTGTTAGGCTCAGCAGTCAGCCTGCCCGGGGGTCTGCCTCACCTGCCACCTGTCTGCGTCTCCCTGCCTGTCCTGTTGGGTGGGTGGGGGTCCTGGGGCTGCGTGCCCTCCCCCTGCGTCGCCCTGGCCCTGGCCCGCAGGTACCGAGTCGTGGCTGTTGGATATTGTTGCTGCTCCACGTTTCTGTCTTCATTTTGCGGAGGGCACCTGTACCTGCAGAGAGAGGCTGAGAGCACCCCCGTGAGGCGTGCTCTTGTCGCAGTCCCTCTCCATGTCTTCGCCCGCTGGGATCCGGGGCACACGTACACCCAGCGGGTTTCTCAAGCCACCGGGTCTGGGACTGAAGCCACACGGTCCCATGTGACTTGGCTCCCTTAAGCACCAGGCCACTTCCCAGAAGCCGACTGACTGGCCCAGGCCTCTGTTCACCAGCTCGGAGCGGCTGGGGACAGCTGACGTAGTCTAGGTTGGCCTCGGTGTGACCAGGTTTGGCCCGCACCCTTCCAGCAGCCTCGACGCCTCTGCTTTCTCCGAGCGGACGTGCAGCCAGACTTGAGTCCGCCGGCAGACGGCCTCGCAGGCCAGGAAGGGGAGAAGTGACAAGCAGGGGACGAGCCCTGCTCCGATTGGAGAGTCTTCGTAAACTAGACTTGGCGAAGAGCTGGAGTCAGACGCTTGAGTGTTTCAGGAACATTTGTCAAACATTTATTCTCTTGGGACCAGCAGGTGGCGTGGTGGTTAAGGACTGGAACTCCCATGTGGCCGACCACGGTTCAAGTCCCAGACCTGCTGGCTGACTTTCTCTCCCTCCCTCTCTCTCTGTCTTTGGCAAAATTCATGTGAAAATAGTACGAAACAAATAAGATCCTTCTTTAAAAACGTATTTGCTCTCTTGGCTGTCAGGAAAGATATCCCCCTGGACCGGGCGTTTCTACTCACTGCTGGACCCGTCCTACGCCAAGAACAACATCCCTATCATCGCGTCCGTGTCCGAACACCAGCCCACGACCTGGTCCTCGTACTACTTCGACCTGCAGCTCCTCGTCTTCATGTTCCCAGGTCTGCCCGCCCCGTGCCGGGGAGGGCCTTCACACGAGTCCCCGCAAACCACCTCACCCATGCTTCGCTCGCCTCTTTGCCCTGTTAGTACAGAGGACGGCTACGCGTGCTCTTGTAGTATTCGAAGCTGAGTAGAAGTCCGAATTTGAACAGCTGCAGATTTTGGAAGTTAGAGCCTCAGAATTTTCTGTTCGATTGTGGTACATGTTAAAACCTTATTTTAAATATTTTTCAAATTATTGACCGTAGTTAACAAATGCAGCTGCTTGTCAGTACTTCATTTTTAATTTGCTATAGGGTGCGTGCATTTGCTGATTTGGAGTTGGCTGAGATTTGGAGCCAGGGGACAGTGACAAGGCATGCCTGGCACGTTTTTTTAAGCCCCCAGGTCGGGTCAAAGCGCATGTCGACCACGTGGTACTCAGCCGCCTTCACATCCTGTTGGCCCGTTACATTTCTCTTATTCCTGAGAGAGGGAGAGGCAGAGCAGGTCCCTGGTAGGGCCTTGTAAGGTGCAGTTGCCTTCCCCACAGCTGCAGCTCATGAGGGTTCTGGGCGCATGCCGCATGGCATGCTGTCAGGTGGACCTGGAGTCCGATCCTGGCTGAACGGTGGCTTCCAGCGCTGCTGCTCCTGCACCACCGAGGCTGGGCCTTTCCGAGTCTCTGTGTTCCTCCCCTGGCCCGCCCCGTCTCTGCCCTCTGTGCTGTTGGTGCTCCACCATGAGCACGCCGATTGCAAGCTCTTCCTCTAAGTTCTTTTCGGGCCAGTCCAGACATGTTTTGGAAGGTACCAATACTGATACATTTAAATTTTATGACATATTTTTTTTTTACTGTGAATGTAGTTTGTGTGTTGTAAAAAAGTAATAGATTAGCAAAACCAAAAAGGTAAAAGTTGCATTTCTTAGTACCTGTTTCTAGCTCCTGTTAACATTTTTTTTTTTTTTGCCATAGGTGCTGTGTGCTCGTTGGGGAGAAAGGCAGTGAAAAGGAGAGTGAAGAACTGCCCCAACCCCAGGGAATGGCTATGCTGCAGTCCCTTGTCCTCCACTCTCCTCTTGGGATTTTGGGCACACACAGGCATCCAGCATGATGCATGGTTTTCAAACTGTCAGGTTTGGGACTTGAACTGGCGTCAGCCATGTGGGAATCCAGCGCCTTAAGCACTGTGCCACCTTTTGGCCCTCCTATTAACATTTTAGTATAAATTCATCCAGTTATTTTTTATGAGTTCATACAAGGATTTTTCCTGTCTTTTTTCACTTCATAAAGAATCATGATTATAGGACCAGCGAGGTGGCATAGTTGTCAGTGTGGCTGGATCCTACATGGTCAACTGTGCAGTTCAAGTCCTGGGCCTGGCGGTTTGAAAAACATGCCAGGCACATGTGTGTGCGCTACAATCTTGAGAATGGAGGAGAGGGGGTTGTGGCATGGCCGCCCCCTGTGGAGTGCATTCTCACTGTCTTTCCCTCTTTCATGCACACCCGCACACCTATGGCCAATCCGTAGGAAGGAAGCATTTAAGAGACATCATCTTGGGGCTGGCAGGGGGTGTGGTTAAGGTGCTGGACTCCCCACATGGTCAACCACATTTTGAGTCTCAGACCTGGTGGCTTGCTTTCTCTCTCTCTCTGATCAAATTAAAAAATAATAATAAGTAAAATGAAATAATTCCGAAAAGGAAAAAGATGCATCATTGATGGGACCAGCAGAGGACGTAACTTACATCACTGGATCCCGCACAGCGGCCTGCGGTTCGTGTCCTGGACCTGGTGCTTCAAACTCAGCCGGGAGTGTGCGTGTGTGCCCAAAATCCCCAGAGGAGAACGGAGAAGGGACTGTGATGTGGCCTTCCCCCCGGGAATGATTTCTCACTTTCTCTCTCTGTCCCTCCGGTCAGCATACACGCCCTGTAGCAAAAATTCCTTAAAAAAAGAGACACGCAGCTCGTTAGCTTGTATGACAGATGTGGAAGATCAGTAAGAAGGCAGATGGCCCGTGGTCTCACACCACACGTCCTGACTGCTGGGCATCTCGGTGGTGCCTGGCCTTCCTGTCTCAGGCAGTGCTGTGGTGAGGGTGTGCACACTTCCACTGCCCTCGGTGTGGGCTCTGGCGGCCGAACAGCTGGGCTGAGCGTGTGGTATCTTCTCGTCCTGTGACGGAGACCCCCCAGGCCCGCCCCACCCACCTGGTTTAGACGCTCACCTCCGCTGCGCTTTTCTAGGGGATCTTCTATAAGGAGACCCCGCAGCCCACCGCACCCCTGCTTAGACGCTCACCTCCGCTGCGCTTTTCTAGGGGATCTTCTATAAGGAGACCCCGCAGCCCACCGCACCCCTGCTTAGACGCTCACCTCCGCTGCTCTTCCCTAGTGGGCCTGTACTACTGCTTCAGCAACCTGTCTGATGCCCGGATCTTCATCATCATGTACGGCGTGACCAGCATGTACTTCTCCGCCGTGATGGTAGGAGCCCCAGCCCAGCCCGCACCCCCAGCTCCGACCGAGAAATTGGGCCCTGTGCACAGACCCCCTTCTGAGCTTGCAGGGGCCTAGCTGGGAGCTGCCCCTCCCCAGGAGCATAAGGGACACTTGACATTCCCGTTGAGGGCCTGGTGTGGTGTAGTCACACCCTTGCGTTAAAGAGGCACTTCTGCGTTGATACTTGGCTGGCAGATGTGACCTGGGTGTCTATAAGGGAGATGGAAGCCTGGGACAATTACGTGGCCACATCGTTCGGGGGTGCTTACATGTCGCAGGAAGGCAGCGTTTCTCAGATTATCGATCCTGAAGCACGTTCGAGGTGATACGTCTCACAGCGTGGCTCAGGACACGGCATACACGTGTAATAGAACTAAAGTTTGAGAAATACAGGCAGCCCTCGCGTATCGGCCGAGTCACGGCACTGCGACCCGGTTATTAGGCAAATTGGCCATTGAGCGCGTTGGTCACTAAGTAGGGCGTTGAAGGCAGGTGCCTTACAGTGTGTCTCTGTGCCACAGGGCTGCGTTTTCCGGTAGGTAGATACCACACCCCACACTAGAGTGACGTAATTCTGCCCCAGCAAAAAGCATTCATGAGGTAGGTGCCAGGGAACAAGCACACGGCACGACAGTTCCAGCCTGGCACACTGTCTGTCCTGAGTGGTACTGCGGGGCGGCGAGGCACAGGTTCTTAAGTGAGACTTGTCACCTTGGTCACGTGGTTGTAAGTGCACCGTGTGCTGACCTGCCACGGGGTGAGACTGACCCTGAGGAAAGGGGAATCCCCACCTGGAGACGGGGCTGCGAGTCCGCGTGGCCCTTAGACATGGAGGGTGTTGAGGGGAAGGGCTGCTCGTGCTTCCGTAGCTGGATCGCGTCTTCCTCGCGCTCATCGACGTCACCGACAGGACCCCTAAGCCCACGCTGTGCCCGTCAGTGGACTCGGCACGAGACTTTGCCGGCTGACCGCCCTCCCCTCTTGCCGCCAGGTGCGCCTGATGCTGGTGCTGGCTCCTGTCATGTGCATCCTGTCGGGCATCGGAGTCTCGCAGGTGCTGTCCACGTACATGAAGAACCTGGACATGAGTCGTCCCGACAAGAAGAGCAAGAAGCAGCAGGACGCCACCTACCCCATCAAGAACGAGGTGCGGCCCGGCAGCGCCACGGGCGGGCCTGAGACGCGTGTGCGAGCCGGCGGCTTGGGTGGGGGTGGAGCAGGGACCGTCGGGCCCATCACCGGTGTGCTCGGCTGTGACGCGGCCCTTCTCCCCGGCAGGTGGCGAGTGGCATGGTGCTAGTCATGACCTTCTTCCTCATCAAGTAACCCTTCCA